ATGTTAGAAATAATATTAGCAGCAGTCTGCATAGCATTATTAATTATTATTGATAATACAGCAGGGGCAGCAGAAAGTACATTTCAGTGATAATGCATGGATGGGCTACAGCAATTCTAGTACTTTCATGGAGTGTAGCAGCAGTATCCATAGAATTTCAGATTGCGTTATTAGCGAATTATTAATAGCAGTATGCATAGCAAATCAAATTATGCTTTTAGTTGCAGCAGCAGTAGGTAGACCATAGTTGCTGAAGTTTCAGTGACTAAAAATGGATGGTATGTGAACTCTTTAAGCGAATAGGCATCATTTGTGTTTTGTTTATTTAAAAGGGGCTTATAGCAATTCTAAGTACCTTTGTGCAGCTGTAGCAGCAGTAAGCAGTTATTCAGATCGCATGTAGCGAATTTAAAGGGGTCATAGGATGCTACATGCACTTTTACAAGTTGTTTGAACTGAAATGTTTATTGGCAGTGTGTGTACACAACCACCCTATAATGATAAAAATCCACCCAGTGTTTTTTTAAAAATATGGTTAAATGTTTTCCCCTTTCTCAAATCGAGCCGATCTCAGATGCCTGTCTGTGTGACATCACATAGACAGGCCCCTCCCACGATAGTTTGAGTGACAGTGGCGTTTCAGCACAGACTGGACTGGCGTCTTACCTTATTATTATAGTGAGCTCCAAACTTGTTGCATTAGCAAGAGTTATATATTTAATGCCCTGACTGTCGACACTGGGATGCAATACATCCTGGAGCAACCACAATACAACCCTTTTACTTTGAAGGGAAGTGTGCAAATTTGACACTTCTAATGTCACCAAACAGATTTAAAAAAAAAAAAACAGTAGGTTTGTTCGACTTCGGATGGATTTACCCATTTGGTCAGATTTGCTGCTTGTCTCAATTCCGAAAAATGCATTGCTTCAAGTCAGACACAAATCAGAGCCGAATAAAGTCAAACACACCTAATGACTGTTTCCAAACAGTTCTCCTGAACATTCCCACCACCTGTCATTGGTCAGACACAAAGATAGTCCCACCCCCCACTTCATGCCACTGGTTGAGCCAATGATGAGGAATCAGCCTGAAAATGGCTTACTTGTAATTGGCCACGTACCCACTGTAAAGTTTCAGGAGTGACAACTGCATTTAAATACGGGAGCAAATCCCCTAAATTATTGTTTTGTGTGTGTACAAAACAAAATTCACTCTCAGAAACTGTGATGATTTACACCATGGTAACCATAGCAACATTCTGGCATTTGGTATCTGCTATTTTTAACCAAAGAAATATAACAATGGCCAAAGACTCGGCAACAGAGCCGTTGTGTTGTTGTTGTTTTTTTTAAAGGGGTCATAGGATGCTACATGCACTTTTACAAGTTGTTTGAACTGAAATGTGTGTTGGCAGTGTGTGTACACAACCACCCTATAATGATAAAAATCCACCCAGTGTTTTTTTTTAAATCTGGTTAAATGTTTTCCCCTTTCTCAAATCGAGCCGATCTCAGATGCCTGTCTGTGTGACATCACACAGACAGGCCCCTCCCACGATAGTTTGAGTGACAGTGGCGTTTCAGCACAGACTGGACTGGCGTCTTACCTTAGAGCTCATTAACATTTAAAGGAAAATGCTTCAAAAACGGCTTGATCTGAAAAGAGCTGTTTTTGACAGGGTAAAAAAGGTGTTTTTTACACTACTATTGAGAAATTTTAACCAAACTATGTTACAGACATTTCATTAAGACCCTAAAGAATCATATCAACTTGTGGAAAATGGGCATCCTATGACCCCTTTAATAGCAGCAGCATGCATAGCAAATTCATATGCAATGTTAGCAGGAAGTCAAATTTACTCATTAAAGTGAAATAGGCATTTTATTGCTTTGCTTATTTAACAGGGCTTACAGTAGATATTGTGAACTCTTCAAAGCGAAATAGGCATTATTTGATTGCGTTTGCTTGTTAATAAAGACGCTTAAAGCAATTATAAGTACTTTTGTGCAGCTGTAGCAGCAGTATGCATAGCTATTCAGATCACTAGTTTAGTGAATTTTAAAAGCAGCAGCACACATAGCAAAATTCAGATGCAATGTTAGAAATATTAGCAGCAGTTTGCATGGCAATCCAATTATTATTGTTGCTAATATAGCAACGGCAGCAGAAAGTACTTAGTTGCATGAAATTTCAGTGTTAAGATAACGCTTGGATGGTAGTGAACTTTTTAGGTGAAATAGGCATTTTATTCCTTTGCTATTCAATTCAACAGGGTTTATAGAACTCTTCAAAGCGAAATAAGCATTAATTGGTTGTGTTTGTTTATTTAATAAAGGGGCCGTAGCAATTCTAAGTACTTTTGTGCAGCAGTATGCATAGCTATTCAGATCGCAATGTTAGCAAATTTTATAGCATGCATAGCAAATACAGATGCAAGGTTAGTAATAATATTAGCAGCAGCATGCATAGCAGGTCATATTATTATTGTTGCTAATATAGCAGCAGCAGCAGAAAGCGCTTTAGCTGATTTTTTGCATGAAATTTTAGTGATAACTCATGGAGGGTAAATTAACTCTTTAAATTGAAATAGGCATTTATTATTTTGCTTATTCAACAGGGCTTACAGTAGGTTTCGTGCAACAGCAGTAGATTATGCTTAGCAAATTCTGATTAAATATTACAACCGCAACAGCTCGCACAGTAAATTCCTACTACAACATTGTGAATATTAACAGCAACAGCATGTACTTCAACTTAGTATTGTGAATATGTCAGTGAATATTATCAATAGCAGCAGTAGCAGTTGCGCTGTTTTGTTGTTGCCCGTTTTTGTTGCGTTTTGTGTGCAACAAGTTTTGTTGCGTTGGCCGTATCGCACTGCATACATTGCGGACAGCTTTACCTATCGTAACTTTGTCATGTTGTGCCGCTCGCGTCTGGCATAGACACCGTCAGTAAAATAGGCATTCGCCTAGCTACTTGTATGCCTAATTAATGGAGCTCACAGCAGTTCAGTCTCTTTGTGCAGTAGCAGCAGCTTGCATAGGCATTCAGTCATCAAGATTTTTCTCAGCAGCAGCATGCACAGCATTTCTATGTTGCAATTTTAATTTGGACACAATTAATATAAAAGCAGACAATTGCATTTAAATAAGTCACTGTGGTGTCTTGCTCAAGACCATCTTGGAACGGGCCATGCATTTAGCAATGATGTGTTCATACAATGCAAACATTATTGTTCTTAATATGCAATATAAATATTTTCAATTATCAAAATAAATGAGCAGCTGCTTTTGAGGCAGAATTAGTCCTGGGCATATGACACCACAACTACAGGGTGTACAATGATTTATTCTTTCGCCAAATATTTTGTTAGCTTATTAATAAGTTAAAGGTAAGTATTTCCATTACAGTAACATTGATGAAAAAAAAAAACATTACAACTCTTGAATGACAAATTTAAAACTATTTGCTCAGGCCGCCCGAGCCTGAGCCAGGTGGTTGCTGGGGATTACTTCATCTATCAGCCTGCAGTGTGATTCCTGTTTGTTAAAGGTCCCATATTGTCAAAACTGAAATTTCCTGGCTTTTTTCATGATAACTGAGGTCTAGGTGCTATGTAACTAGCATATAAGTTTTAAAACAGTCAATCCACAGTCAAATGCACACAGCCTGCATAAAGTAGCTGTCATTTTTCACGAACCGTTGTGACTTCCGTAAAAGTCTTTTGCCAAACCCCCAGACAACATCGCGTCCATGCCATTGCTGAGCAACAACAACACGGAAACATGTTGAGAAAACGCTGTTCAGTCTGGATTTCAGGAAACGACATCATTGCACAGTAGGGCTGTGACGGTCGCCGTGACAACCGCGTCAAACGCGTCACTCTATAACAAGCATAATAAAAAGTTTTGTATACAATGTAATAATAGTAACAGTTGCAAATTGTTTTATTTAGACTATAAGTCTATGCTAAAATATGGGACCTTTAATTACACACATAGTGCGCGTTTCTACCTAGGTAAGTTTGAGCTATTGGCTCAGACACACATAGTTATTTAGGTCATTAGTTAAATAAACCTAAGAGTACAGCACCTAGGCTCACATTGCTAAGCCACTAGTTAATTTATCTGGGCTTCATTAGCCCAGAAACACATTTAACTCAGGTCACTAGTTTAAGCTATCTGGTCAACCGATCAGGTACACACAGCAATAGTTCACTAGCGTTAAGCCATTCGGCAAAGCCGGCCCAGCCTCACATAAATAGCAAACACATGGTCTCAGCAGCAGCAATAATCTACAACTATAGCAAAAACCAACAGCAGCAGCAATTCAGCAGCAGCGTAGCAGATCTATTCTGCCAAGACCAAATACATTAACATTGTCATATCCATCACCATGCTAAAATCTTCCGAGAGTTGTCATGATTGAATTACTTTTAAAATATAATCATTTCCACTTTTTCTCGTAATTATGATTTTTAATCTCATAATTATGACCTTTTATGTCATAAATTTAACGTTATGCCATATTTTTGACATTTTATCTCATAATTACAACTTTTTTGTTAACTATTCTCATAATTATGACTTATATCATAAATTAGACTTTATTTCATAATTATAACTTTTTAATCTAAATTTTGACATAATTATGACTGTCATAAGTTTGACTGTTTTATGATAAATCATAGTTATAAAATTGTCATAAATTAGACATAAGCTTGACTTATTTATAATTATGACTTTTTATTATCACAATTTCTACTTTTCTCATAATTATGATTTTTATATCTCATAATTGATTTTGTCATGTCACCTATTAGACTTTTTATCATGACTTTTTATCTCCTAATTTTGACTTTTTTCTCAATTATGAATTTTTATGTTGTAAATATGACTTTGTCATATCTATGACATTTTATCTAATAATTGTTTTTTTTTTATACTGTAATTTGACTACTATCTCATAATTGCAACTTTTTAAATCTCTTTTCTAATCATAATTATGATTTACCAAAGCATGATTTTTTTGGGTGACTTTTTGTGGTGATCAGAGATTTTTTGATGTCCTAAGGATTGAAATACTTTTTTTCTCTCTCACTTTCTTTCTCTCTAAAGGATCTAGGGAATAAAGACCTTGCCAGAGAGAAGATATATCTGATCTGTCAGATTGTGCGTGTGGGCCGTATGGATCTGAAAGATACTAATCATAAGAAATGGACGACGGGCCTGCGGAGGCCGTTTGGTGTCGCTGGTAAATGTCAGGGTGAATGTTCTCATTTGATCTCCATGTAGCATACAGACACACAGCTGATATATCTGTGTCTATTGGCAGTGATGGACATCAGCGACATCATCAAAGGAAAGACAGAATGTGACGAAGAGAAGCAATATTTCATTCCATTTCATCCGTAAGTCTTTCCTCTCCTTTTGTTTTGTTCATCCATGTATCTTAAAGAAATAGTTCAAATATATATATATATATATATATACACACACATGGCGGATGGAAATTCAGCTTTCCATCTGGGCCAAAATATTTCTATCTTTTGCTGTAGTGTGTCAGTAGGAAATATCAGTTTACATTTCCAAACATTCATTTTGCCATTAATTGTAATAATCCAGTGAGATTTTTGTCTGACAACAGCCAGTGCTCCACACAGAGATCTGATCTCATCCTCATCAGTCTGTCTGAAATGACACGAAGAAACAGAATAAACTGAGACAGACTAAATCCAGAAGAACTGTGGCAACATCTCCAAGATGCTTCAAGAGACCTACCTGCAAAGCTACAGTACTGTTAAAAGTTTTAGGCACTTGTGTAAAAATGCTGTAAAATGAGGATGCTGTCAAAAATAATGTTATAAATAGATTGTCTTTATTAATTAACTTCAATTAACTAAATTAAAAATCAACATTTGGTGTGAGCATATTTTGCGTTTAAAGCAGCTTTTGCCCTCGTTGCACTTGTGCATAGTTTTCAGGTAGCTTTGCAGGTAGGTTTTTTTAAGCATCTTGGAGACGTTGTCACAGTTCTTCTGGATTTAGTCTGTCTCAGTTTATTCTGTTTCTTCATGTCATTCCAGACAGACTGGATGAGGATGAGATCAGATCTCTGTGTGGAGCAGAAAAACCTGCAGCTCCTGCACATTCTTTGGTTTTCCAGCGTCTTCTGCATATTTGAACCCTTTCCAAAAGTGACTGTATGATTTTGAGATCCATATTTTCACACTGAGGACAACTGAGGGACTCATACATAACTATTACAAAAGGTGAAAATATTTACTGATGCTCAAGAAGGCATTAAGAGCCTGTAAACTTTTGAACAGGATCATGATTTGTAAATTCTTCTCATTTTGTTTAACGATCATATTTTTTCATTTAGTACTGGACGTCAGAAGCTACATAAATACTTACATGTTTCCCAGAAGACAAAATAAGTACAATTTACCCTGATCATCTCATTTAAAAAGTTTACACCCCCCGGCTCTTAATGCATTGTGTTGCCTTCTTGAGCATCAGTAAATGTTTTCATATGTAAATGGAGTATTTGTAAACATCTGTTATGTGAAATAGCTTATTCAGGACAGTACTAGCTACATAAATACTTACATGTTTCCCAGAAGACAAAATAAGTACAATTTACCCTGATCATCTCATTTAAAAAGTTTACACCCCCCGGCTCTTAATGCATTGTGTTGCCTTCTTGAGCATCAGTAAATGTTTTCACCTTTTGTAATAGTTATACATGAGTCCCTCAGTTGTCCTCAGTGTTAAAAGATGGATTTCAAAATCATACAGTCAATGTTGGAAAGGGTTCAAATATGCAGAAGATGCTGGAAAATCAAGCAATGTGCAGGAGCTGGAGGATTCTTCTGAAGAACAGCAGGCAGTTGAACTGTCGTGGATCATCCAGGAAATTACACATAGTATTAAGATTCAAGGATATTGAAACTTTTTAATGGGGTCATTTTTAATTTAAATAAATTCATTTTTTATTTTGTCTTGTGTAAACATCTGTTATGTGAAATAGCTGATTCAGGACAGTACTAAATAAAAAAATAACATGCCGTTTTCATGATCCCTCTTATTTTGTTTAAATTATTAACATTTTGGACATTCTGCAAGGGGTATATAAACTTATGAGCACAACTGTATATATATATATATATATATATATACACACACTAAATACAGACAAATACATTTAGACCACTTAACTTAATGATTGCTATCGGGATGTGAAGAGACTTTCAACCAGCATAACAAAAAAATTTTCTGAAGACAATCAACTATTGCACCTTTAAGTAATTAAGTAATTATTTTCTACTCTGTTTTCGTGTGTGTGTGTGTGTGTGTGTGTGTGTGTTTGTAGGGTTATAGCTGAGAATGACTTTCTTCACACTCTCCTTAACAAAGTGACGACGTCGCGAGGTGACAGCGGAGGTCAAGGTATGTCTCAGTGCTGTTATCTCTGCTCAAATGACAGCACAGCATCACCGCTCCCTCCGCTAATGCTGTAATACTCACTGGACCCATAATCCCGTCTGCCCACACTCACACACAGAGACACAATACAGCAGAAGAAAGAGATTGAGTGCTGAGAGCGGATAAGCTTTACGACTGTCATTAAAACAGACATTAGAGAATGAGACAAGGGGGAAAGGATGAACAAAAACAGTTAAACCTTAATTTATGTTATTTTACCTCATTCATCCACCCTAAGCACCCGCTATAAATCATACGCTTTCTCTAAAGAATATTTTGAAATCACTGTAGCAGTCACTGTAGAAAGATTCCATGTATTTCTGTCATGATTCTGATAGTGAAACTAATAAATCATTAAACACCATGTCAGGTCTGTGGGTCACCATGAAAGCTCTAGTGGGCGACATCGTCCAGATCCGAAAAGAATATCCCCACCTGGTGGACCGGAGCACCGTGGTTGCACGAAAACTGGGTTTTCCTGAGATCATCATGCCGGGTGACATCCGTAACGACATCTACCTCACGCTGCACTCAGGAGACTTCGACAAGTACAACAAAACCACACAGAAGAACGTGGAGGTCATTATGCTGGTGTGTGACGAGGAGGGGAAGGTCATGCCGGTGAGTGCGACCTCTGACCGTGAGGTCAAATCTCAGCCTGTTCTGATTGGGGTGGGGTTTTCTGTGTTGATTGACAGCTGTCTTGTATTATTGTGCAGAACTCAATCTGTCTGGGAGCTGGAGATCGGCCTGTAAATGAATATAGATCAGTCATTTACTACCAGATCAAACAACCTCGCTGGATGGAAACTTTTAAGGTGAGTGAGACATTGAGCTTAAAGGGTTAGTTCACCCAAAAATGAAAATTCTGTCATGCAGCAAGTGTTATTAAATGTAAGTGACTGATTAATGAATGAACAAAGCAAGTGACCACTGTCTTTATGAATCACTGAATCATTCATTGAATCATTAACTCACCCGATTCATTTAAAAAATAATGAATCATTCAAGAACAAATCTTCACTCTGTGTTGTGTTCGTTTTCGGGCAAACGCTTTAAGAGCTGATGCAATGGGCCAAACTAAAATATAAAATATAGTCAGAGGCCAAATGAAAAAGCTGCTTGAGCACCACTTCTGTGTGTGTGCATGTCAAACAGCATTGACAGTTAATTTTTCTTCCAACATATTACATGTTTTTAGGTGAAACGTGTTTAACAAAATACACTTTTATCCATCTATTACACATTTACGGAATCAGGTGATTTGGAGGGAAGCACTTAGACCACGAACATGCATTTTGAAAGCAGATCAATTTGATGCCAAATTCAAAGTTAATTTCTCAAGCATAAATCCTCTTGTATTCAGCCAGGTTTTCAGTCTGTATGTAGTAATGTTTTTCTCCGGCCTGTAGGTGGCGATCCCTCTGGAGGAGATGCCCAGAATCCATCTGCGCTTCATGTTCCGTCATCGATCCTCACAGGAGTGTAAGTTTAGCAGCTTTAGTGCCTCCTGCAGTCATGAAGTACAGTTTTTTAAAATATGTGAAGACACCAGTGAAAATAATGTGACATCAAGTCATAATTTTAAAATGGCATAACTCGTTAGCATGTCCCAATACCTCTAAACTGTCTTGCCACATATTCAAAAGTATATACTTTATGATCAGCAGTTTTGCAGTGCATACTAAAGTAGATGTATGCAAATTGGGTTTCTGGCCCAATCTCAAAAACGACTAAAATCGGTTCCAGAGTTTCGCGGATTGAAAAACAACACATTTGTTTCTAAATCCTCATTCTAGAAATGAGGTTTGAGTCATCAGTGTTTTTATTTTATGTTAGCTATCGAATTATAGCATGCATTAAAAGCCACAGGACTCTAATTTAGATTCTGAATATCCAATCTGTCATATACTACCAACTATAATGCTGAATGGTACTGGTTAATGAATTTAGATATGAATAAATGTGTAATTTGTGTTATGCAGCGAAGGACAAGAGTGAAAGGAACTTTGCGATGGCGTTTGTGCGTCTAATGAAGGAAGACGGGACCGTTCTGAGAGATGGCATACATGAGCTCACCGTCTTTAAGGTCAGAAACACATACTGTACATACACAATAAAGGCAAAAATGGGTGGAAATTGATTTAGTAATATTTTTACATGGGTTTTTTAAGTGGATTGGACAAAACATTTTAATCTACCGTTTATTTTTAAAACAACAATTGTAGTTAAAAAGATGCAGTAAGGAGATTAAAAAATGTAACGTCTGTGAATCAGAATTAAATTGAAAGAGCGAAGCCTCATTTAGCATTTACAACTGCTATGTAGATCATAAGTAATTTACACATTGAAATCTTAAAGGTACAGGTACAGGTTTTACACTCTTTATGATTTTGCATGACTTGTCAGTCTTCTAAGACCTTGGGAACACAGATTATTCAATAAAAATGACAGTTGTCGAGAAAACAAATTAAAATAAGACAATGTCAGTCATTTTGATTTTTTAAGCTCATTGTCCATTTTGTAGTGCTGTAAATTTTAAGATAATTTGCCCAAGTGTTTAATGTAGCTAGAAAAATCATTATTTTTATCATTTTTATCATAATCATTATCATTTTTCATAACTTATTTTTAAAGGTTTAATTTGATAATTTTTTTCTATTTTAGGTCTAAAACTTTCATAGTTATTAGCATTCATTTCTGGAAAGCAGAAATTTATCTCGGAGCGAATGTTGATGTCCTTTTTAATGTTATGCATGTTCATTTAGGAAAGAATACCTTTAAGTGTCCCAACAACAAAATGTATTACCTACAATTCTGTCAAAATTAAGTTACAAACTACCCAAATACAAAGGTCTTCCATACACTGCAAAATGGTTTTCTTAGTATTTTTGTCACTTTTTTCCCCCCATACAAATATCTAAACATTTTTTAAATCAAGATAAATTTACTGGTGAAGGAAAATGACACATAATAAGATATTAAGTCTTGTTTTTGAAAAAAAAAAAAAGAAGTGTGTTTTTTCTTAAAAAAAGAAACAATGTCTGTCAGTGGGGTAGGAAACATAATTTGTTTTCCCTTTTAATTCTTTAAACCAGTTTAAGTCTTTTGTGCCACATTGACATATTTTTTCTTGTTTCATGCATATTTTAGAATTTTTTTTTTATCAAACAAGACTTAATATTTTAAGTCATTTTGTTTCTCAAGTAATTTGATTTTGATGTAAGAATATTTAGATAATTTAATCGGAAAACAAGACGGAAAGCAAATCAATCAGTGTAGACTTTACAGTACATGTAAGTAAACCTTTGTCTGATAATATGGTGGACGACAGGTAAACTAATCAGTTAATTCACACATTCTCAAACAGATATGGACTGCATGTGTTTTCCTTCTTTCTGTAGGGTGACAGTAAGCGCATGGAGGAGGTCAGCTCGTATCTGTCCCTGCCGTCCGAGCGCAGTCACTCTGACAGCCACAAGGCGGCGACGCTGATGCGCAGCTCCAGCAGTGTGGGCGGCCTGTCCGTCAGCTCCAGAGACACGTTAACCATCGCAACACTCGTCTGCTCCACCAAACTCACCCAGAACGGTGTGTGTGCCGGGGGAACGGGCAAAAGAGTCTCATAGCTTTTATAGCCAAAAGAAACGACATTCACAGTCCATTTCACTTCTGTAATGCGATGAATTTCCAAGTGAGAAGGGGTATTCAGAGAGGAACAACATGTAGGCTGACATTTTTTACAGCAGGTGGTGAAAATTGTTTCTTTGTGACAGGAGGTTGAAAAATAAGAGGTCTTGATGACATCAGCTGAAAAGGAAAGTCATTTCAGAGGGAAAGCAGGTTATTACATTCTGATGAAAGATTGCATAACAAACAATTTTTAGCATAACGTGCGCAGACTCACAATGAGAACAGCAATGTGTTGTTGTTAAGAAAGTAAATGTAGTCAGTTTAAATATTAATATATTAACCCTCTAAAGCCTGACATATGAAATATCTTGAAAAAAAATGCATATGTTTTTTATTGAGTATCATATTTGATAAATCAGGCTTTAATGGCTCATATAGTCTGATAGTGAGAATATGGAGGGAAAAAACACCTCAGTTTTATTCAGAGACCCAAACTGAGAAAAATATGCAATTTGCTGCAGATGCTGATATTTATATGAACAAAAAGTATGAAATTCTGATTGTAATGTATATCAATGAGTTCTGTATAACAGTATATGCAGATACTTGCATAAAATTATATAATTATCAGTTGTCACTCTATATCACCAATAATATGTCCTAGTAAGATTAAATTTAAACGCTTAGTTTAATAGTCAAAACATGTAATACAATGCAATACAATGACGATTGAGAGATAAACATATAAATGTTCCTCAAAAGCCTGATGATCATATTTGATACTCACTGATTTTTATAAAAAAAAAATCATGTCTGGATAATCAGGTAAAGCTTAGTCGCTCCAGACCAGTAAGTGTTCATCTTGAATATCAAAGTTATTCTTATGTTTCCTTTATAAAATTCAGTAAAGTGAAGCACGACGTTTCTACAATTATACTAATAGGACTTTTACTTGCTAAAAAGTCTAAACTATCAATCAGATGACAGAAAGCATGGAGTAGATTGTGTGCAACAGGTTTTTCAGCAAAGTTTTGATCATGATGATCATTTAGAGGCCTTAGAAATGTATGTATCACACATATACAATACTCACTGATTTTTATTAAAAAAAAATCATGTCTGGATAATCAGGTAAAGCTTAGTCGCTCCAGACCAGTAAGTGTTCATCTTGAATATCAAAGTTATTCTTATGTTTACTTTATAAAATTCAGTAAAGTGAAGCACGACGTTTCTACAATTATACTAATAGGACTTTTACTTGCTAAAAAGTCTAAACTATCAATCAGATGACAGAAAGCATGGAGTAGATTGTGTGCAACAGGTTTTTCAGCAAAGTTTTGATCATGATGATCATTTAGAGGCCTTAGAAATGTATGTATCACACATATACAGTACAGTACAGTAAAGATACAGTAGGGTTAAATCTGCATATTTCAATTGTTTATGTATTTGTGTGTATGTTTGCTATTGTTAAATGACTTTTATCTTGAAGCCCCTTTAAGGACACACACACAGACGCAGGTGTGGTGTAACAGCTGTTCTTGAGAAAGCCCATTAATCACGCTAATGAATCTTCTGGAAACAATGAATCCTAGAAGCTAATGAATCCCCCCCCATACACCTGGACATATTCACTGCTGAACGTGAAATAAACAGATTCATGAATGCATGGTAATTAAGAGTCAGTTGAGGACACATCGTCTCTGTCTCTCTGTCTCTCAGTGGGTCTATTGGGTCTGCTGAAGTGGAGAACTCGTCCTGAGATGCTGAAACAAAACCTACAGGAGCTCAAACTCATTGACGGAGAGGAGGTCGTGAAGGTGTGTTGCACTGAAATTACACATGAGCATCTGTAGTTCAATATGCACTTTTGTTTACGTGTGTGTGTGTGTGTGTGTGTGTGTGTGTAGTTCCTGCAGGACACCTTGGACGCCCTTTTCAACATTATGATGGAACATTCACAGACTGATGACTATGATATTTTGGTTTTTGACGCTTTGGTAAGCAACATCCAAACATACACACATTTCTACAGTCTTAAAAATAAAGGTTCCAAAGGGTTGTTTTTGCAGAAATGCCTCAGGTGAACCATTTTTGGTTCCTTAAAGAACCTTTAGTGTGAAGACCATTTAAAAAATCTAAAGAACCTTTTGTGGAGTGGAAAGATTCCATGGATGCTAAAGGTTCTTTATAGAACCACTGATGGCAGTAGCTTACAGTAATTGGGGCCATTTCAAAGACTTGTCTTGTGTTTATATGATGCTGATTAAAATGATGACTAACCCAAACCCTGAAAGAAACCTTAAAAAAAAAACATGATTTACTCTTTTATGAATCATTTTTCCAAATAAGCACTTCCCCACTAGTCCCCATGGGGAGGTTTTGTCCTATTAAGCTCACTTCTGGTGACTGATTCTAGTCCCAAAATTATAAACCAGGAGAATATAAAATAATAAAAGATAACAGGAAGATGCAATAGTTGTTTATCATTCTCAGTTTTAAATACAAAATTTTGCATTATTCAAATTGTAATTCAGTGATTCTCAACCTTTTTGACAACAAGGCCCCACACAGTCCAAGACAATATTTAATATTTCTAATACTTCTGCTGTGATGACAAAGATGCTTGTATTCAATGTTTTTTTTAAACCAACTAGTAGTATCAATATATTCAAATAAATCTATATAATTAATTATAAAAAAATAAATAAATGCAATATCATAGTATTATAATTACATATAAATAAATTCTATTATATAATTCTTTATATATAATTTGAAAATATATTTAAATAAAACATATTTTTTTATAATAAAATAAAATAAAAAGAATTACCTAATTCCAAAAGCTTCAAGAAATGAATGTTTGTCTTGCACTTAATTTACATGACTTTTCCAGTAATTTGTGATTGCAGGATAATTTTTGCAATTCATCAGCAGATTTATCCCATGCTCCTGGTTGAGAACCAATGTTATAAATAATTTCTCTTTTTCAGATCTATATTATCGGTCTGATTGCCGACAGAAAGTTTCAGCATTTCAACACTGTGTTGGAGGCCTATATCAAGCAACACTTCAGTGCCACCCTGGCTTACAAGTAGGTCAAATACTTTTCATTGTTCTTCTCAACACTAGATGGCAGTATGTTTGTGTGTGTGAGTCTCAAATACTCAAATCAACAGAAACAGGAGTGAATTAAAGGACCCAGGTTACACCATAGTGACATAATTTGGCCTGTTGCTAGTTGTCCTAGTTGATTTGTGTGTGCAGTCTTTTCTCTGTCTAGATTTTGTAGTTTAAGTTATTTAGAGAACTACACACACAAACTCTCTCTCGTTCTGTGTGCTGTAGGAAGCAGATGTCCGTGCTGAAGACGTATCTAGACGTGTCCAGTCGAGGGGAGGCTTGTGAACCCATTTTAAGGACGCTCAAAGCCCTCGAGTACATCTTCAAATTCATCGTCCGCTCCCGAATGCTCTACTCTCAGTAAGTTTGTGTGATTGATTCTGAAATCAAGAAATTAGAATCACTAAATGAGGCGCACAGACCCCCTGAAAAACTAAAATATGAAAAACTGCCTGAAAAAAATAACACAATGAAGATCATAGGAAAGAGATGTTTTATCATGTGACCTTTGCATCAATCATTTGATTGGTCAGTTTTCTCATGGACTGCTTGTTGCTCATGTTGGTTGTGTTTAGAATACTTGCATACTGCAGTATATGCAGTACATATTATAGTGCCTACTATATATTTTTAAATATTGTGTAATAGTATGTAGTATGTAAAAAGGAACATTTTAAACCGTTGTATACCACCAAATGTTTGGGGTCGTAAGATGTTTACATCTATTTATTTAGCATTTATGCTTTTTAACTTACAAAAGAGCCTCAACAAAGTGTCTTTTACTCACCAAGGCTATGTTTATTTGATCAAAAATACAGTAAAATTGTGAAATATTATTACAATTCAAAATTACTGTTTTCTATTTATATGTTTTAAAGGAGACATATTATACCCCTTTTTACAATATGTAATATAAGTCTCTGGTGTCCCCAGAATGTGTCTGTGAAGTTTCAGCTCAAAATACTCATTATATAATTTTGAAAATGGCTATTTTGAGTGGAAACAGAAACACGCTGTTTTTCGGGCCTGTGTCTTTAAATGCAAATTAGCTGCTGCTCCCCGCCCCCTTTTCCAGAATAGAGCTACGCCATTACAGCTCATACCTGCTAAAAATATCTGTTTTGGTTCTGATTATCATTTTTATCGCCTGAAATCATGCGTTTTAAACCATATCAGTTTAAACTTCTGATATATGGTTTTCTGAGCGCACACATCCGAAGAATATCTCTTTGGATTTGAGACTTTAGTCTTTGCAACTTTACAGATCTTCTTTATGCACCTAGAGCTTGTAACACTCCAAAGAGAAAGGAAATCTTGAAATCACATCATATGACCCCTTTAAAAAACAACAACAAAAATTTGTTTGGCTTAAAATATGAACTGGGCATGTTCTTAAAACCACAAAAAAACAATATGAAAGAATTGTTCTGAGTAGTACGCTAGTACTCTATTCTGAGCACTGCCGGAGTCTGTGACGGTTCATTCAACTGAACGTGGGCTGAAAACAAAACAAAACACAAGGAAATAAACGCCCAGCTGCTTTGGGCTGAGATTCAAGCGGACGTTTTTAAGGTGGAGCAGTCATTTTTTAGGGTTTTTGACAGGGTCACATGTCCTCCGGCCGCCTGCAGCACGTTCTGTCTGCACCGTTTTGTCGAGGAATGTAACAGCGCTGCCTGACGGTCATTAAGGGCCTGTGTCTGTCTGTGATTTATGACTCTGCCTTTGGGGCCCCCGGATGCAGTCATCGAGCGGCACTGCAGAAACACAGACTGTAGCTGATGCTCATTCACACTGCCAGTGCAGTTCCTCTGACAGTTTCATACTCAAGTATGCAAACACACACACACACACACACGCACACACACACACAACATTGCTTGGCCAAGTGTGCATCCCCTTATTTACTTGAATTAAACTTTACTGATAATGTACTCAGCCTCAGGCCATCCAAGATGTAGATGAGCTTTTTTCTTCAACAGATTTGGAGAAATGTAGCATTACAACACTTGCTCAGCAATGGATCCTCTGCAGTGAATGTGTGCCATCAGAACGAGAGTCCAAAATGCTGATAAAAACATCACAATAATCCACAAGTAATCCACACAACTCCAGTCTTTAGAAGTGAAAAACTGCATGTTTGTAAGAAACAAATCCATCATTAAGATGTTTTTAACTTAAACCGTTATTGTTTCTGGCTAAAATGGGTCGTCTTATTATAGAAATATTCTATAATATTTCTTTCTCCAGAGAAAAAGTTGTCTGGTCTGAATCAGGTGAGAAATATGCCCATATAAAACAATATTGACAGGTGAAAAATGGTTCTAAGCAAATATGTGGGTGAATTTTGATGTGAGACGACAATAGTGATGGACTTTTTCACTGGAGAAAGCAAAATTATGGATTATGGAATGGATTTCGCCCAGAAGTGACGGTTTGAGATTAAAAATGTCTTCATGATAGATTTGTTTCTTACAAACACACAGCCTTTCTCTTCACAAGACATTAACGGATGAACTGGAGTCATGTAGATTATTTGTGGATTATTGTGATGTTTTTATCAGCTGTTGGCACCCATTCACTGCAGAGGATCCATTGCTGAGCAAGTGATGGACTTGTCTATATCTTGAATGGCCTGAGGGTGAGTACATTTCAGCAAATTAATATTTTTGGGTGAACTATTCCTTCAAAGTGTGTAGCTGATATAATCACGTCAGCTGTTTAACTAACTTAAACTTACTTGCTCAGCAAGATTCCTTCAGTTTGTTGCTCCGCTGTCAAGTTAGTAGAGTTGACAGAGAAAACTTTTGAAACACAGTAGTAATTTACTCGGTATAGTGTCTTTTGTGTACTTCTGCTGTGTTTTGAACGTTTTGGCGTGTTTTTCAATGCATCTACATTCTAAAATGTGACGCTAGATGCATCTGCCGTTCCCAAACTGTGTGTGTGTGTTGTACACTGTGTTCAGTCATCAAGTTTGTGTAGCAGCTGATTGCATCATTAATTTGCCTAATAGTCATTGATGCCAAAACAGCTGCTAAACGAATCTCAATGAGTGTGTGTGTGTGTGTGTGTGTGTGTGGTTGCACTAATGACCAACAAGAGAGAGACAGATCAGTCTTACTGCAAACAGCATATGATCACTATAAATGCTTTAATTACACACCACATATTTATTTTTAGATTTTATTTTGTGCACATATTTTTACAGATTATTTATTATAATTTATATAATTATAAAAATACATTTAAATCATATTTAAATCATATTTTTTATATTTATTTTTAAAATTTGGCTTAAAATATGATTCTTTCTTTCTTTCTTTCTTTCTCGTTCTTTCAATTCTTTCTTTCTTTCTTTCGTTCTTTCTTTCTTTCTTTCTTTCTTTTTTTCTCATATAAATCATATTAATTATCATATTAACTAGTCTTTTTATTGCGGTGTGCCAATGCACACTAACATCTCTAGAAATGCAGAGAGTTTAGTATGCAGTATGTAACATTTCAAACAGTTGTATACTAACTAAATTGTCAAATGTACTTATTGCATTAATTCAGCAAGTGGTGTCCAGTTATAATATCATAAATAAATTGTTATTTTGTGTTTTTTAATTTTCAGTTTTGTGTAAAGAGTCTAAACTTCTGTCAGTCTGATCAAATTAATGAGTTGAGTAAGAAATTGTATTGTTTAAGACAAATCTAGCACATTGCATTGTGTTCATTTTTTTAATGCAAATAATTTTTTGGCATATTTGTTTTTATATAAAAAATTTTCAATTTATATTTAAATAATTCAAATATAAAAATAAAACGTATTTATTTAAAAAATTTTTCTTTTAAATTTGGCTTAAACTTCTAAGCCAAAAGCTTTGACTTCTTTCTTTCTTTCTCTCGCTCTCGCTAATATTAACCAGTCTGTTTACTGCAGTACGCTGATGCATACTAACATCTGTAGAAATGCAGCCCCATCACGGCCGGATCATTTTTCAGTGTTTATTAGTCCGAAGGCTCTCAGCAGGAGTGTTTTTGCTCTGGATTCAGTCCCAGCAGGAGGCGCTTCACTCTGATAATGGAGTTTGATGGAAAGCGTCACTGCTCTGCGCTTTTAAAATAACTCTCTAAAACATCCAGATTAAACCGCAGACGTTATATTCCCAGAGAGAAGAGACCATGTGGGTGTGAAAATGCCGGTTCGGTGCACGCTCTGGAAATGTAATAAATCCTTTAAATTAAATAGCTGAAAAGAAGAAATGGATGGGAAAATTACCTCAAATTGTTCATGAAATACTTATTATTTAGCTTCAATTTGGGGAGATTTTCTGTCCTCTAGGATGATTTTAAATGCAAATGCTTCATAACAGTCATTCTAGTTCTGAAACAATGATTATCGTATCTTTTTTTGCTCTTCCGCTTTCATTATTTTTTTTAATACGTGTTGAAAGGTTAAGTCAGCTAGATTATTAAATTAGCTCTGTTCTAGGAATCAAAATGTTCATTAAAAACATTTTCTAAATCAAATTGATTCATATCATCCTTTCACTAGAGCAGGGTTTCTCAAACTGGGGTTTGTGAGTTGAGGAAAAGCTAACAATTAAATCAAGCAAATTTAAATCAATAAATAAAATGAAATGTCAGATTTGTTTACCTGCATGTCATGTGACAATTAACCGACATCAGAGCAGTGTAATTTTAGTAATATTTAAAGGCTACTATAGTATTTAATAATATTTTGAATAAGATTTTACTTTTATATTTTAAGTTTTAATTTTAATTTTACATTTTTATGGGCTTTTGTTATTCTTATTAGTTATTAAATATTACTATTTAAGTTGTAGTTGTAGTGTTTTTGTTGTTGTTGTTGTTTTGTAATTTTAGTGCTTCAACTTAAAATTATTTCAGTTAGTTGCCGAGTCAACATTTCTAATTTTCATTTAGTTTGTTTATCATCTAATATTTATATTTAAATTCCTGTCAGTTTGACTTCAATTAACAAAACTTAAAAAAATAGTTACCTGAACATGAAAATGTGTTGTTAAATTATTAAAAAATATTAACTTAAAATCTTACAGATACTATAACTAAATATTTTAGGTTATAGGGGTTTGGCTTGCAAAAAAGTTTGAGAACCCCTGCAGTAGTAGATCTAGTGATGACGAGCGGGGCCGTTTCTAGCCAATTTGACGCCCTAGGCGAAATCCCTATTGACCCCCCCCCAGACACCAGTTGCTTGTCACATTCATATTGGTTGTTATAGCAACGACACTAATTTGTGGAGATTCAGTGCATTGAGTTCCACAACTCTGAATGCATTATTTGTAAATTGACTGTTAAGATTTTGCACAATTTATTATCTGTAATAT